CTGGGCCTCTTTGCTTAGGCTGCTGCCCCCGCGACCCGGTCTCGGATAAAGCGGATGAAGATGGATGGATGTTCTGATGTTTAATAGATGATTGTGTTTAAGTGCACACTGACTGTTTTCTGGCTTCTTACATCTTAAGTTAATGTGTATATTTCTTACTACAATACAGCATCTTTATGAAATTGGTAAGAACAACAGCTGCTTTAGTTTTAGGTTCCAAAGCCTTCTTGGAGACTATATATGAATTGTGGTCAGGAAGTTCCAGGAACAGCCTTTAAAATAATCAAAAGCATGACCTGAATAAAAGTAAAGACCTTCTTCTTCTTCACCTCCTCACAATTTTCAGTACAGCTGTGGTTTTATCTCTGTGTACAAGTCTCATCATGCTCAGTTGTCCGTGTCTCTGATGACTGCTCGATGTTCTACGGTCTGTCAAAACTGTTATTCCTGAGCTTGCACTTCATTTTCAGGAAGTATTAGAAAGAATGACCTAAAAACAGCTGATGATGGAGTTATCTGAACATATACAAACGTCCTCAACATAATCAGTACCATGGCTCGCTAGTGTTAATGCTTTATACTGTGGACGCTGTCCCTTTCCTATTGGTGGAAAAATGCACCACGTCACGAAGCATTTGGTTACTGAGAAAAAGGGAGAAGTTGTGGGAGCGATGGCAAAAGTAAGAGTGGCAATATCAGCAGCAAGTTTTGAGATTTTAGAAATTGAAGACATTTGGCACGTTTGGAATGTTGTGTAGTCATTTTTGTGTGTCAACACAATAATACGACAAAAGCAGACTGCAGTGTAAACGCTTCCTTCAGGTAGACACAGGACTGATGCGCCCTCGTGTTTGTCAGACGTGTGATGTGCTTCTGTCTTGACAGGAGCGATTCCTGATTGATCTGCAAATAGTTGTGCAAAAACCACAGAGGCTGCATCTTAATGTAAACAGTTTTTAAAGGTGAAATAGTCAAAATGGTCAGTTATACCCTTGACCCCACATTGTCTGGATGGTAGTATCTGTATATACCCGTACATACTTTTCATCACTGATTAATAGAGAATAACTTTACCTCCATTTAAGAGATGCAGGCTTTTGAACTGAGCACAAATAACAAGCTAGCTGGTGTCTTTCCTGTTTAGTCCGGACGACGCTGCAGCCGCGTTTGTCAGTAAGAACGTCAAATTTCATTTTGGCTGACCTCAGAACAGTTTCCCACTTTGCCTCAGTCCATTTTAAATGAACTTTGGCCCAGACAAGACAGCAGAGTGTCTGCTACTACTGCTACGACTACTTCTGAAATTCAATTCAATATTGAGTTTCTACCTTGACCCTTGCACACAGAGATTTCTCCAGAGTCTTTGAATCTTTTGATATCATCACTGTAGATTATGAAGACTTTGATAGCACTATATGTGTGTGTGTGTGTGTGTGTGTGTGTGTGTGTGTGTGTGTGTGTGCTGCATTTGCTCGTCATGTGAGCTCATATACAAGCTGAAGCAGAAAAAGTTGTGACACCTGTTATCCTGTTATCTCTGACTCGAGCGTCAGGTTTTGTCAAACCAGTTAATTCAAAGAAGCCTTGCATGTGTATAATGTGTATATAGATGTGTATAATAACTATTGTAATAAACTCAGTTTGGGTTTATGCATATAACATTAAATTACATCAATGACCACATAAAGAGGCTTTATGTTATGTTAGGTAAAGACCCAACAGGAGAAAACTAATCAGTCACACAGTCTGAGAAAGCACTCTGACCTGTCCTCCAGCAGAGCCAGGCCCAGGGAAGGGCAGCTATCTGCCACGACCATGGAGGGTTGAAGAGGTTGAACTGGCATTAGTTTGTTGAGTTTGTATGCTTAACTCTGTGTCTGGAGTTTTTTGTTTTTGGTGGGTTTTTAATGTGTAGTTAAAAGATTTTGGATCTTTCATGCATATAAAATATTTAAACGATAATGTCAAAAATCAAGCCTGTATTACTTTAATATAAGCAAAGGCATGAATCAACTACACATAAAGAACGTTGCATCCTGATGTGATTAAGTGTGTGTCTGTTTTGTAGAGCACCTACGACCGTTGTCCTCTGGAACTGGTCCGCTGCATTAAACACATCCTGCAGTCAGAGCAGAGGCTCGTTCAAGAAGCTACAAATGTAAGTCGAAGAAATTGCTGCGTTAATACTGCAGGAATCAGGGTTGTGGGTAGGTTAGGAACCATACATAACAGCTACAGCTTTTGTCTATCTGGCCTGTTGCAGCTTGCTAGGCTGCATATACCAACAACTCGGAGCACAAGAAGAAACAAGTCCTCCTGAGTAGTAAGAGGATACGTATCCCCATTTGTTCTAGATATAGGGGCAGGTTGATAACCACGGTGGAGCCCAGAGGGAGCAGGAGGACGGGAGAAGCTCACAGTGTGGAGTGCCTAACCTCAGTCTTTAAACCAGCATGTTTGAAGTTACGAGGTTAATGCACAGTTCAGTTGCCAACTAATAATATGTGAAAGCGCTTCTCGCTTTGTTTTGGTCATCAGTATGTTCAAGATGGAAATCATGGCAAAAGACAGAGCAGAATGATACATGTGCAGACAGTTTGACTGTGATATGAAAACTTGACAGTCCAGGGGTCGATTGATCCGATTAAAAAGGTGTTTTCAGTTTGAAGCATACGTCCCCAAACAAAAATACAGCGGAGGACAGAGTGCAGAAACATCTGTATGTGCACTTATTCTGCAGGAGTAAGATTAAGCTAATATGTAGAGCAATAAACAATAGCATCATACTGACTGCATTATATTTCATGCAAAATAAATAAATAGCAAATTTCTGGGGAAAGGTTTGTAGTTGGTACATACAGTTTCACCAGAAAGCACACCATCCCACATCCTACTCACCCCACTCAATGTGTCTTCCTTGCAGGTGTTCATATTCAGTTGCCTTTAGTTATTGTCGTACACAGAAGGTGTAAATAAGAGTTTTGGGAGCAGATTTTGTCCTGATTTTGTTTTAAGCCTTCATCATCTGTTTGGTGTCTAGGCCAGCAGTGGAAGTGGGAGCCAGGCCATGGACACGCTATCACAGCGCCACCAGCAGATCAACCAGGCCTTTGAGGAGCTCCGACTAGCCACACAGGAAACTGAGAATGAACTGAGAAAGCTGCAGCAGAGCCAGGAGTACTTCATCATCCAGTACCAGGAGAACATGCGCATTCAAGGTAAGGAGGAGAGAGAGAAACACAAGTGGTAAGAATGTAGAAGCAAATAAGCCCACCAGTACAACTGGAACCATTTTAGATTTGAATCTATTCTTTAAGTTCTGCTGGTTTTCCCACCAGAACACAACAACCGGTAACTGTTTGCATCACACTCGGAGCTCTTTCTCCCTATCCCTGTCTCTCTCTCTTTAGACAATATGCACAAAAAGTTAATTTACTGAAGACTAAAGAAAACTGCAACCACATTGCTCAATCAAACATAAACAGCATATCAGATGTTTAAATGGAGAAAATGTGTAATTAAAACAAAATATCAGTTCATTTTAATTAGACTCTTTGGACTTGAACCTAACCTGCTCCGGAGCAGCTATGACCTTCACTGGACCATCGCTCTGACCTCCGTGAATAACAGGAGGGCCCAAAGTCTGTCTTTCACATCAGTGATAAATTTTGTTATTCTAGTTCTAAAATTTAATATATGATCCTAAAACAGGACACCTACAGTGTACTGCTGACCTCATATTAAATTTTTGCTAAGCTGAAATTCTTAAAAGTTGAGAGAATCAGAATCAGATCTTTGAAGCTCCATGCCAAAAATCCCGTCAAAAATTGTCCTCAGTGTAAAATTGTAAAGACTTTCATATCTCATCATCTACAGCAGGGCTGTCAGGATTTACACTGAGAGCCACATACAGCTCGATTTGATCTGAAGCGGGCCGGACTCGTGACTCTGTTTTCTGTCAGTGTAAAGAAGTCACATATTTAACTGTTTTTCTACATTATGAAGGTAAATCTGCTGTGACAAAGAAGGAAATCTGTTAGCACGACTCTTTGGACTGTACGAAATAAACGTGTAAAATTACAGAAAATGTTCGGGTAGCTCATTGACTGTCCAGTTTTTTTGTTTTTGTAGTTGTAAAAAAACTGAAATCTCAATAGAAACTTTTCTCTTTTTCACAAAGTTACATTGTTTTTATTAGAGACAGAGCCAAGTGTTGCAATTTGGCATTATTTTGTGAAAGTTGAAATTTCTTCGGTGTTGAATAGCAGAAATTAGCCTTTCTTGTCAGAGGTACCGTATTTTTTTGGACCATAAGGCGCATAAAGCAAAACAAAACAGTCAGCTAAGTCAAACTTTCCCCAACTCATTCTTCGTGCTTCCTCCATTTCTGTACCACTGATTCATTAACGCTGTATTCTATCACAGCTGCTCTATTCCCATGTTGTTGCAGTATATGAATCACTAACTTCGTACTGTGGCTGGATTATCTCAGTTGTTCTCCTGACTGAAGTTTGGTTCGTTTACAGCACCCTGCCATGCGATTGCATTTGTCTCTAACCATCAGGAACCTTCACGTTAACTTTTATCGAGTGGAAAAGTGTTAGTGTTCATCCTGCAGCTTCACTGTTTATGCTAACATAGCTGTGTCGCTAGCGATCAGGTAGCACATCATTATATACCAGCTAGCCCAACTTCAGTAACCCTACAAACGTCACTGCTGTTTAGTTTCCTGTCTTCATTTATGTTGGAAGTGATAGCAG